GAACTTAGTTTTCACAATTGATATGTGTAATAAAGTTGTTGGTTTACTTCTGTTTAAGATTTTTTGTATCGTTAAAAGGTAAAAATATAAATTTGCTATTATTATTTTATTTTAACAGTTTGGATAGCTTCAATACACGATATTAAACTTGTTCGAATAATTAAACTTGGTTTTCATAGTTTCTATATATGAAAAAGTTATTGTTTACCTTTGTTTAAGATTTTTATATTGTTAAAAGGCAAAAATATAAATTTACTGTTATTGTTCTATTTTAACAGTTTAGATGGCTTCAATATATGACATTAGACTTGTCTGAATGATTGAACTTGGTTTTCACAAGTTAAAATATGTGAAAAAGCTACCGTTTACACCTGTTTAGGATTTTTTGTGCCGTTAAAAGGTAAAAGTACAAATTTGCTATTATTGTTCTGTTTTAACAATTTGGATAGCTTCAATACATGATATTAAACTTGTTCGAATGATTAAACTTAGTTTTCACTGTTGATATGTGTGAAAAAGCTACTATTTATATTTGTTTAAGACTTATTGTGTCGTTAAAAGGTAAAAATGCAAAATTGCTATTATTGTTCTGTTTTAATAGTTTGGATAGCTTCAATACATGATATTAAACTTGTCTGAATTATTGAACTTGATTTTTCACAGTTAATATATGTGAAATAGTTGTTGTTTACCTCTATTTAAGTTTTTTGTGTTGTTAAAAGGTAAAAATGTAAAATATTGTTATTGTTCTATTTTAACAGTTTGGATGACTTCAATACATGATATTAAACTTATCCGAATGATTGAACTTAGTTTTCATAGTTAAAATATGTGAAAAAGTTATCATTTATATCTATTTAAGACTTTTTGTGCCATTAAAAGCTAAAAATGCAAAATTGCTATTATTGTGTTATTTTAACAATTTGAATGGCTTCAATATATGATATTAAACTTATTCGAATGATTGAACTTAATTTTCACAGTTGATATGTTTGAAAAAGTTATTGTTTATATCTGTTTAAGACTTTTTGTGCCATTAAAAGGCAATAATGCAAAATTACTATTATTGTGCTACTTCAATAGTTTGGATAGCTTCATTATATGATATTAAATTTTTCTGAATGATTGAATTTGGTTTCCACAATTGATATGTGTGAATAAGCTACCATTTACGTTTGTTTAGGACTTTTTGTGCCGTTAAAAGTAAAATTACAAATTTGCTATTATTGTTCTATTTTAACAGTTTGAATATCTTCAATACATGATATTAAATTTGTCCAAATGATTGAACTTGATTTCTACAGTTGATATACATAAATAAGTTGCAGTTAATATGTGTTTAACAATAATATGTTTTTATGTAGGAGATTGAGATGGATGAAAAAATTGAACATGTGAAACTTTTTCATTAACCCACAAAAAAAGACTGATCTTATCTAAATGTCGAAACACAAAAAATTATAGTAATTTGTTGGATTCGTTTTATAAAGAAAGTAAATATCTACTATTTTAAATATATTATGCATTAATTATTAAACTTGATAGTTTTAGTTTATTAATTTATAAGAGAAAACGAAAAGAGAAAATGGCTGTTGAGATTGAAGTAGCATCTGATGGTTCTGTCAATATGCAAAAATTGAAAAATCGAATTTTCACAAAAGTTACTGGAAAAGAAAGACATGAACGGGTCCAAGGCCTTGAATTGGGTCCAACACCATCTAATTATTATGGACGTAGCTCTTAGCAATTTACTTTCTCAATAAGTCAATTTTCGTGAGACATTTTCTTATTAAAAGGGGGATTGCAAACTATGCAATAATGTTTTAAGCAAATAAAAGTAGAAAGAAAACATGAGCATGCTAGAATTGAATAGGAATATTCTAAAATTGAAGAAGAATGTGTTAGAATGGATCAAGAGCGTGCAAGATTTCAACAGTTGCATGATCGATTTGACACTTCTAAGAATTTTATGCAATAACAATTTTCAGGAACTAATCTAGGTGGCTCACCAATTCAGGTACTATATTTAGTAATTATTTATATTTTTTAATGTAAAAAATAGCTTATTATTAAGTGTTAAAACTTGTATTACTTTATTCAATAGGTTCTTGAGCATGTTAATGACCAAGATGAAAAAAATCTTTCATCAAATGACAGTGTTGTAAATCTATGTAGTCATCAATTTCATACATTTAAAATTTTTGGTTAATGTACTAAAAAAATTTGAATGTTATTGCATGTATTAAACTTTGTGTTTCTTACATCTGGGAGCAAATTATGTATTTATAATATTTAGTTTATGAATTTAAATCCATTTTTATTTCTTTTAACATTTTTTATTCAATGCTAATAATCAATATTAAAAGAAATTTTTTAATTTAATGACATTTGTGTCCTAAAAATGTCGCTAAATGTCAAATTTAGTGGTGCTTTATACTATAAAAATTGCTAAATTTAGTAGTATTTTTTATTATAAACACAGTTAAATTTAGCATTTAGCGACATTTTTAAACACAAACACCGCTAAATTTAATGAGATTTTATGATACGAACATCACTAAATGCTAAATTTAACGTATTTGTGTTTAAAAATATCACTAAATTAACGATATTTTTTTAAAAACGTTATTATTTTTCTAATGCATGTATAACTGATACTCTTAAAAATATTTTTGACAAATGTCATAAATCTTTCAATGAGGTTTATAAACGTCGTTAAACATGAATAAAAACGTCACTAAAAACTTAATTCCTGTACATTCGGTGAAAGAGTTGCTCTTCTAACCCCAAGATATTGACATAATAATTGGTGTTTGATTGGCCCCTTCGGTTGTACTTTTCAAATGGAAGTTGAATTGTAATCAAACGAGCTTAAGTGGAGAAAATTCTCGAGACAAAACCACACCGTTTTGGGACAGATTCTAAAAAAATTTGATGAATATTTTGCTGTCCTTTGCTTAATCATCAGACTTAGGTAGCAAGTTACTTAATTCATGATTTGGCCTTTCTTAAATTCTGCAAAAATAAATTTGCTAACTAGTCAAGAATTGAGAATGTGAAATGATAAAAAAATATCTCATGTTGATTAAGATATGGATAATCAGAGATTGGTCAGTTGAACTTTACATCCGATCCAAGGCATCTTCTATTTAAATTGCCAAGTTCAAAAACTACAGTATCAATAATTTCAACGAAATCTATTATCTTTAATCCTTCTTTCTTTTTTTTTTCACATTATGATCTTCTTTATTTAAAAACAATCTCAACGAAACATAACAATAATTGCCACTTATATAAATCAGTTTAGTTGCAACAAACGCAAGTACAATTTGTCAAGCTCACACCTAAAAGAATGGCTGATGAAAGGGAGCCGTTTGAAGTTTGGTAGAAGTCGCTTTAGAGCATTTTGAAAGCGTATAGTTTATATCAGCAATGTACCGAAAATGAGATTTAAGTGCGTGTAAAATACTATAGACTTGTAAATCTGAGTAAAGCTTGAATTAGAAAGAATTTGCAATGTAAAAAATGAATAAAATAAATCCCGGAACAGGTTCGTAGAACCCAACTTAGGGCCCTTTTAGAGAGCTAGTTTCTGAAACAGGCCGAACGATACCGGCAAATAATTTGGATCAGGATTTACTTTCCCAATGCAGCGCAATGTAAAACATTGGTAGGAACTGTTATTAGGCCTGTTGGCTTCAAGTTCGGTACGGTTGATTCCTGAGGGAGCTTTGTTTTTAGTTTGACTGCCGATAGCCAAGAATCAATATAACAGGACTTGATTCCTCATAAAAAAGGCTAGATTCAAAATAGTACTAGACTCAAACTCCTTGTCCCTTGTTTTCTTTCCCTGAAAAAGGATGCTTGATCATTGGATTGAGAAGAGAGATCAATAGAAGAATTTTCTTACCACTAGATTATTGATAAGGGACCACACAAGCAGCTGCATTCAATGCGTTTCAGTAGTGTTAGCGAGAGGGCATTTTCAGACCTTCAAGCCACTCGTACACTGATAACTGCTTACGATTTCCACAATTACTAAAAGCAATCCACACTTGGGATTTATCTTCAAGGGTGAAAATGGAACTTAGATATGTCTTTTATGAAATAAAGTAAGGAGATAACTGACAGATCTGGGCTACAAGGGAACTGCAAGTAGCACTACAAGTAGCAGCAGTTTCGGTGTTAGCAACAAAATTTTAAGCCAAGGCTGGTGCAAGTGAAGGATTTTTGGCTTAGAGGAGTCCATCTATAGCCTTTCTTGGAACAGATTTCTTTGCAGAGATGTTCCCAATTAATAACTACCTTCTTTCTCTTGCTGCAGCCACATTGCAACCGGATTCAACATACAGGAAATTTTGACATTGTAATTATTTGTTTCCATTTGACATCGTTTTATTTAGAAACAGACAGTGAAACTTAAAAAGAAAGGTAATAAATTTTTCTTATCAATCTTTCTTCCTTCTTTTAGCATAGCGAAGTAACGCAAGGGAAGAAGAGGATGAGCTGCAGCAAGAAAAAGACCCAAAAATCTATCATATCCAAGCAATCGTTAATAGAAAGGAGAACAAGTAGAGCTTTCTGAATTATGTTGAAAGCAAACCCTCACCTAACTTTGGAAGAGGCAAAAAAAAATGGTGGCCAATTATGTTGGAATTCGGTTTATCTCAGACTCCATGTTTCATTTTAAGTTGTTTGCAGAAAGTACACGAGTTTGGTTTATTTTCACCAGCATTTGAATTATATTTATTATGTGGATCACTGCAAAGTAAGTAAGAGCAGTGAAAGTAAGTTTGTTGTAGGTTTAATGTTGCATAAACTGTCAAATCCTCGGAAATGCTTTATGCCTGCAATAAATTGTAAGAACAGGTAAAAGCTCAAAAGACGTACAAACATGAAACAACCAACCAATGCAAAATGACAACTTAAACAGCCTAAGGCAACGGTCTATAAAACTATGGTTCTTGTCCTTTGCCACTTTCCAAAAGGATGTAAAGATTTCTAGTCTGAACAAGCGGAGTAATAAAAAGCAACAGAAGCCGAGAGCGCCATTTGAGTAAATGATTTAGGGTCCATTGACGACCAACTTTCCCTAAGTACTTCATAACGGATTTATTTATAGCTATTCAATTTGATAAACAGAGGGATAAACTACTGTAAAATCTCATAGCAGAGAGTTGTCAAAACCATTTATACCTCGCAAATGGCACAGGTATAAAATGGGATTCTTCCCATGTTTCACACGGCGTATTTACTAAGGTAGTTGGTGATTCAAAGGTTACCTGCCTAAGATGCTAGACAAATCTGCAGCATCACTTTCATCAGTCTGGACATCATTTTCGAGGCCTTAAAATCATAATGCTGGCAGCAACTAGCTTTTCTGTAGACGTGGAATAAAACCTTCATTGTTAATAAATTTACAGTGTACATTAATTCCTTAATAAATGTCCCTCTCCTTTTTTTTCCCCTCTATTTCTTAACTGTGAAAATTTCAACCCCTACTCTCTTTCCAGTTTCCTTCCCACTTAAACAAACCTGTAAAGCAAACATCAAGTGGGTACAATTATTGAAAAGCAAAACTTGAGAGCAAGAAAAAATTAGGGGCATATCACCCTCACACTCCTTTCAGTACCACACCCTTTTGAACTTGTTTTTGTACCAAGCTTGTATGAGTAAAAGTTTTCTCAAGCTACACTTCCTTGATAAGAGGCATCTTCATAGTAATAAGGAGTCAGTTTCCCATCCTTTTTAGCAGCCTTCGGTTGGTTTTCAGCAGCGGCTTCTTGCAACATCTTAACCAACCTTCTCATTGATGGGCGGTTGATTGGGAGTGGATTTGTACAGAGGAGGCCAATGTTGAGGACCTTGTATATTTCTTCTTTGAAACAAGGATCGAGTTTGGAATCAAGAACATGGTCCACTCCTTTCTGATCTAGAGTGGTGCAGACCCACTTTACTAGGTCCTTCTCCCCAAACTCCGGGTCAATTGGGAGTCTGCCTGTGACCAACTCAAGTATAACTACGCCGAAACTGTATATGTCACTCTTCTCGTTCACTCGAAGGGTATATGCATACTCTACACCAAAAGATTCATAGAGAGATTAGTTTAGATTGACTGACATATACATTGAAGGCAGTTAAAGGAGATTTATCAGACAATGTATATGAAATCATAAATATCCAAAATTATTTGAGAATTAAATAGTAGCAAGAGATATTAATGAAGTGTCAAAGAAGCAGTCTAATTAAAGACCGTCCTGATATCCAACACAAGGTTATACATGTACACTAACTGATAAATGGGTATCTATGGTGATTGTTGCAGCGAATATGGTCTATAAAATAGTTCATTTTTTCTGACCGAGCATTCAAAGATCTATAAACTAATAGCAGCAAAAAACACAAGACGGACAGACAAAGATTTCAGCAACTAACCTGGAGCAATGTAACCACAAGAACCAGCAATCACAGACGTAGCACTCTTTCCAGCAGCATCGACCACCTTTGCAACACCAAAATCAGCAACTCTAGCGCCAAAATCCCCATCCAACAAGATATTGTTGGACTTGACATCTCTATGGACAATTGGAGGCACACAATCATGATGCAAATAAGAAAGCCCCTCAGCTGCATCCATAATAATCTTGAACCTCGTTGGCCAATCCAATAAACCACCTTTACTACTATGCAACAAATCACCCAAGCTACCATTTGGCATGTACTCGTACACCAAAAGCTTGCAATCCCTGGTGGTACAACAACACCACAACTTAACAATATTCTTGTGCCTAATCTTCCCCAACGTCTCGACCTCAGCTCGAAACCCATCATCATGAACCTGAGCCTGACCTTTCTCAAGATCTCCACCCTCAAAACCCCTTTTCACTCCTCCCCAAAGCTTCTTAACAGCAACAGCCTCTCCATTACTAAGCACAACCTTGTAAACTTTCCCTGAAGATCCTCTCCCTATCAAATTATCCTCGTCAAGACAATCCAATATCTCATACTCACTAAAACCCAACTTATGAAACGACATCAAAGTCCACTTAGACTTATCAATAGCCCTTGCTTTCTTATAACTCCTGTACTTGAAGTAAAACCAAACCACACCAACAACAAACACCAAAGCAGCTAAAACAAAAATGGATCTAAGCAACCAAACATAACCTTTGTGCTTATCTCCATCCCTCCCAACACACGAACCAATAAAATTCCCACACAAACCAGGATTCCCCAAGAAGCTGTTTTTGTACATGTCCTTATCAAATAAAGGCGGTAATTCACCGGAGAACAAATTATTCGACAGATTAAGCTGATTAAGCTTCAAACTCTGCAAGCCGAATGGAACTCCCCCTGTTAACTGATTATTGGACAAATCAAGATAATTCAGTAGTGACAAACTCCCTATTCCATCAGGAATCCTCCCTGAAATATCATTATCAGCTAAATTCAACTCGTTTAACTTCTTCAACGACTCAATTCCACTAGGCAATTCCCCTGCCAACTCGTTTCCATGAAGATCAAGAATCCCTAGTTCATCAAGCTTCACTATACTTCTAGGCAGCAACCCACTAAACTTATTGTCACTAGCAGAAAGTTGAACTAAGTTATCTAGCAAACCAATTTCTTCGGGGAATGATCCAGTAAACTCGTTCCTGGATATAATCAAAAGCGACAGGTTCGCAGCATTTGCAATTGATTCCCCAATTTGCCCTGAGAAGGAGTTATTAACAAGCTCAAGTAAATAAACGCGAGGAAGACCCCAGAACCTGGCGGGAATTTCACCGGATAATTTGTTGTAACCGAGTCGGATCCGGGCCAGGCTCCGACACTCGGCTAAAGTCGACGGTATTTGACCCGAAAACGAGTTGTATATCATTAGAATCTCTTCTAGGTTCCCTTTCTCGCATAAACTCGGCGGTATGGGGCCGGTAAATTGGTTGCTGGAGACGTCGAGCCATCTAAGCGGCGAGTTTTTGCCGAGATTTTGGGGTAACTCTCCAGAGAGTCGGTTCTGAAAGAGTCTGAGTTCGTACAGAGCTGGTGAGTCCGCGATACTCGGTGGTAATGTTCCTTCGAAGTTGTTCTGATAAAGGTTGAGACTTTCAAGTGGCAGCCGAGTCAAATCGTCCGGAATCGTTCCTGTTAACTGGTTCATTGATGCGTCAAGGAGTCTCAGATGGGTCAAATTCGAGAACCCGCGAGGTAACTCGCCCGTCAACGAGTTGTTATACAGCTCAATCTGAACTATACTGACCAACTCAGTGAGCGAACTCGGGATCTTCCCCACCAAGTGGTTAATGGCGAGGTCTAAATCGGTGAGTTTCTCGAGTTGACCCAGCGAGTCTGGAATTCCGTCAACTAAATTACATTCTGTGAGCCACATAATCTCCAAGTTGGTTAAGTTGCCAAGCTCAGGCGGGATCCGACCAGGACTAAACGGGTTGTACGATAAATTTAGCATTTTTAACGTACTAATGTTTCCTAAAAATGCGGGGATTGTTCCGTCTAGGAGGTTGTAAACCAGAGACAAAACCTCGAGCTTTTGGAACCGACCGAACGACTCCGGAAAATCTCCCGATATATTGTTAGCAGTTAAATCGAGGTATTTAAGGTTAGGGAGGTCAGCCAAAGTGTGGGGGAGTTCACCAGTGAGTAGGTTTTGAGAGAGATCAAGGTGGACGAGATTTTGACACGTGGAGATGTCGGAAGGGATGGTGGAATTGATGTTGTTGTAGTAGAAGTTAATGAAGGAAAGGTTTTGGAGACGGCAGAGGAGAGAAGGGAAAGGGCCGGCAAGGTTGGTGTTGGAGAGGTCAAGGGAAGTGACAGAGCCAGTGGCTGTGTCACATGAAACGCCACGCCAGTTGCATGGGGATGGGTCACGAGGGTTCCATGAGGAAAGGGTGGAGTCAGGGTCTGAAAGGGAGGCTTTGACATGGAGAAGATAGAGGCCTTCTTGGTTGAGAGAAAGGGAGGGTGAAGGGAAAGTGAGGAAGAGAAAGGAGAGGAAAAGGAGAAACATTTTTGCTAAAGGGGGAGGGATGAGGAAGAAAGTGAAGAGTTTTGGTGTGAATATATTAGAGTCAGCAAAAGAGAGAGAGTTTGAGTAAGCTTTTTGAACGAGAAAGATGGCGTTCTGCCATAAGAGAGACACAAATGATAATGAATGAATGAGAGAGTGGGGAATGTTATGATGTGGGCATTTTTATTGTTGTCTATGGTGAGTTTTAAACAGAATCATGGAGGGAGAGAAAAAATGCAGCGAATTCAAACTAAACTGCAAACTGAAAAGGGTACAGGCGTACAGCGATAGGAAACTAAAAGCAAAGAAAATGAAATAAAAATGGCTTCTTTTTGTTTTTTTTTTTTATTCCAAAAAATTGTAAACTCGAAAGGATGGTTTGGAGAATCAATGGGGTTAGTCGGTCAGACAAGGAAGAGGAAGCCAAGAAGGGCGCATCAAATCGTTCGCATCACGGGGAGGTGATGGGAGGGAATGATCTCGAGGAAGATAATAAAAATCAGATTAATGGTGGAGATTTTGAGAGAGTAGTAAATTATCAGTGAGACAATGAATAATTCTGTGTTTTATTAAAACTGCAGAGCAGCGGCGCACAGAAAAAAAACAGCAATCCTTTTGTTTCGTAGTGTTATCTTTCTTTGTAGTTTCGAGTTTCCATACTTCTGAGTCACTCGTGAAAGCCTTGTACTTGCTTCCAACAGGAAACTGTTGCCCGACGGTTTTAAACTTTGAACAGAGTAAATGTTTCTTCTCAGGGCGAACAAATACGATGTCATTTGGCAGCGCAGAGTCAAAATTCAAGAACCAAGATTGACGCTATTTCGTTGTCTCTTTGATGTTTCTTTTACCGTGGCAAAACTAGAGGCAAAGATTTTAAAACCGGTTTGACCGCTGGTCGCATTAAAAAACAAAATGAACGCATAAATTTTATGACGAAATTTATATATTCGTACGATATAAAAATATTAATAATTTATATATTTATATTATATTTTATATAAAAATTATGATATATAATTTTTTATTTTATTAAATTTAATTATAATTTTTATTAAAATTTTAAATTATGTTATTTTTATATATTTTATTTTTATTATTATCATGTTATGTTTTAAATTGTTAAGTTCAAAAGTTTAGTGGTTTTTTTATTATTATTACGACTTCATTAATTTGGTTCTTTAACTACTAGGAGTGAGTTAATGATAAACTCATGAAAAAATAAAGCTACTCCCAACAAGGAGAATCAATGTGCAAGTAAATTTCATTAATAATATGGTGTAACTTTATAGAATTAAGATTGGGAAGTTGAGGCCAATAAGAATGAAAAGTGAGGTTCCATGAAATAAAAAGGGAGTTCTTCAAGTCTTTGTGCTTTGTCATGAAAGTTTTGACTGGTAAGAATGAGATGGTGAAGTGATCTCTTTCCACAATTAATTATAGTTAAAGTTTCTAGAATAAAGCACATTTAACATTTAATGCTTTACAAATAAGTAAGACATTTAGATTTATCTGATTTAAATTTACAATAAATAATTAAATTTGGTAATTTAAAAATTTAAGATTTAGAGCCACGCACCATGACAAAATTTGATATTTCGAATTATTACATTTACACATAGTGGACCCAATGTTTTGGTTTTTTCTTTTTAACATCTTTGGTTAGCAAAATTTAGTTTTACTATAACTTTATGTTGAGTCCTTGACTTCTATTTTAGATTAAAGGAAATGGAGTTATACTTACATTAACATGAAATTTGTGATTCCATTGATGTTTTCAGCACTTATAACAGGTCCAATTTTCATATTGGTAGAATAAATTTTTTGTTGATGACTAAAAGTTTCGTCTTCATTAGTTGAGATATTTGGATATTGAGGGAAATAGAAATATGGATCAGATCAAACAGTAACTTGAAAAGTGAATGACAACAGTGAAAGCAAGCTGTGGAGTGCTTGTTAAAAAATTTCCCTATTTTGACAAATTTGTTGGTGCAACAAGTCCCATATGATTCCACATTCTCTGGAACTTTTTACGCAAAATGGGTGAGTTTTTGAACCACAAAGCCCTGTATCAAGACACTTGCCTTAACCATGTGGTCAGGACTCAGGATCAGGTTCTTGTTTGGTCTAAAAGCTCTTTGAAAATGGACAATGGTGGGCTGTCTCTACAGTTTTCTTTGAGCACGAAACAGTATTTCATACAACTGTCATAATAAGGAAGAAGAATAAGTGAAATCGAATAACTTCAATCTACAGGTGACAATGCTACTTTCTCGTATGAAATATCTGTGACTTGTAAGATCAAACCATATAAAAACAAGTAAGTTTAATTCCCATGAACATTTTCCATTTCCATTCTCCAAGCTTTCAGGAAATTTCCTGGATCCGAGAGGATGGAACGAGGATAAATGTTGATTTTTTTTTTTTTTAAAGTTTGCAGATGCTACAGTGCAATTATTTTCAAGATTAAATTATTACTTTTAAAATTTTTTATGCCTTTATTTTAAAAAAATTTAAGTATTACTTTTAAATTATTATTATTTTTAAGTTTCCATTAATCATTATACCAAAAAAAAAATGACTTCCAACAACTAAATTTATGAACCAACTTGAAACTAGTATATATATTTATTCATCATTCTGAGCCAAAGTTAAAACGTAACACAGAAGTTGGTAGACTAAATAAGGATGAATATTAATCTTCGAGCTCCTCATATATTGCTAGTATTATATATGGCGGGAAAGTTTGGTAAGACACATTCAAAATCATATTAACTACTGTTAGAAAATAATTGTACCCACAAAATTTGAAACAACATGACCTCTAATTTTGTAAATATCTAGTCCTGGAAAGGCAATTTCATCTTTGTAAATCAAATCTTTCATGGACTCGTAGAAGGGATATTTCTTCCCAAGTTATCAATAAAGGTTCACTTGGAAGCAAAGTTTAAGTCAACAGTGCATGCCTTGGTTGATGAGCATGGGCGACGTCTGGGCTGGCCACTCGAGTCACCTCAATGGCCTGGGATTGGAGCAAAGGGTTATCTGATATGCCTTACAAAAGTAACAAAACGATAATCTTTGGAGTTTAGTGGAACCCACGAAGGCACCAACCGCAAGTGCTGCACTACTGCTTTGAGACATTGAGTAGACTGTGTCAAAATAGATTTGATTAAATCGAAAAACTTGCTACTGAAACTGAAGTCGTGGTACATATTTTTCCAGGTTGGCTGCTCGCTTTCCTCACCTTGGCCATGATGCAACACATAGCACACTGTCTAGTGCTCACCTAACCACAGTTCTGGACCTGCTTGTTTGTATGTGATTGCTATTGGTGGCTATGGAAAAATGAACTTCTGTTTCTAAAAAGATTTGAAAATCAAACAAAAAAGACTTAGAATATAACTATTGAGATGGGTCCATGATTTGATTCGAATTAGTAAAATTTTTCATATAATATATAAGAAAAAAAAAGTAATCCAATGATTGGATTAACTGGATCTAATGTAAACAACCTTATCTTATATTTGTACAAGAATTTGTTTCGTAATTCAAATCCATGACTTCCAGATCATATGACAGTAATCTTATTGTTGGGAAGGTTCTCCTCTTATAATATATAAGAGAATTAAAAAAAAAAAAAAATCAAGGGAAGAGTAACTTAAATCTTATCCCTGTTAAATCTTAATTTGTTTAGCTAAGATTAGTATGATAGTGTAGTAACAATGTAAATTCCAAACTATGTGGTTTGGATAGAAATTTTCAATTACATTTTCCTTTAACAATTCTTCATTCCTTTTAAAGTCTTAATTTGATTGGTTTGGTACACTTGTTTAAGACAATATTTCTGTTATCTCCAAGACATATAGTGAAACGAAGAAGAAAAAAAAAAAAACTGAAATGGGAAATCGTGTTCAATTCAAAATTTAACAAATGCTGCCAAAATGGACGTTGCATAAAGCTTGTGGAAATCAAAGTGTCAAAAATAGAAGAGATTAAATCTCCTATACATTGATGGCCTTCATGACAATCAAGTGTGGGCCAAGACAGTTGTATAAAAGATTTGAACTTTTGCTAACTTTCAAGCAATAAAGCCATTTCCATTAATGAACAGGAAATGCTAATCGATACCTCAATATCTAGTTATATAGGTTAAAATAATATTTTAAAAAATGTAATTAATGACATGTTTCTTTGGGAATTTAACAAAATTAATGCATTTAATATAAAATTTTTTCTAAAAAATAATTAAATAATTTTTAATCAACGTCTAAAAGCATATGTTCATCGAATCTTAATAAATTTAGGTTTGTGGGGTTAGATCAAATTTTAAAATTATAGAATTTAATTAGACAGTCTCGTGGGATCCACTTCCCATCACTTGCAAATCCAATCCTTAATAATATCAACTAAAGACAAAGATGTTTGTGTCAATTAGTATCCTCTTACTAATTAAGCAGCAAATTTTTCCTTTTTATTTTCTTATAAATAAAAGAATTGTTTTAATTGTGGATAAAGTTTGAATTTTTTTTAATTTTATAAGCGAATTTGAAATTTCACCATATTAATTTTTTAAATAAATTTTTACCGAATGTACGAGCTGGATTGCTATATATTTTGAATCATATGTCATCGAGTGGGTCAAGAACGGATCTCCTATTAACATTCAAGAGATCCCATGTGGGTGGTTGTCCCATAATTAAGATGTTACCACACATCAAGATCAAGGGTCCCAATGCTCGGCTTAGCCCACACATGGACACACCACCCACCATTTTTCATCCAAGAACAAGTCAAACAATTTCAGATCTTATCATTGACAGTAATTCACAATCATAAAATTAAGTCACCATTTTTGGGTCCCATTGGAATTTATTTTTACAACAATGAACTTAGTCATCCATAAAAATTAATCCAATTGATAAAATTTTTTTTTCATCTTAATCAAAAGTAAAATTTTGAATTCATTGAATCATATATAATATTATATTAAAACATACATAAAAATTTGATAATATTTATATACGTGGATGCTTAAGTAGACATCTTATATTATTGACACGTAAGATATTTTTCAATAACTTTATTAAATCAATTATTTAATTTTTAAAAATTTTAAAGTTTCAAAATTTACATTTATCAAAATCTTTCAAAATGCAAAAGATTTATCTTAATTTAAATCTAATAAAATATATATTTTCATATTTCACTCTTATCCAATTCAAATAATTTTTAAAAGTTAAATTACTAAATCTTAGGAATCATAAAAAATTATACACCCTCTAAATTAATATTCATATAAATTTAAATAAATAAAATTTATGGTTGAACCACTATTATTTACCAAATTTTTGTCTTTATTTTTTTATAATTTAAAATAAAAAATATTTTATCTTAATTTAAAATTACACACATCTAAATTTAAAATTATACTAACTTCTTTTATCTTAATTTAAAATTGAACTTAGATAAACTAAAATTTTTTAAATTAAATAATTATTAAATATATATTTATGATTTTTTTCTCACAATCAATATTTTCTTCTTTTCATCATAAAAGTTTGACAAGATAAAGTTTCAAAATTAAATATGAAAAAGTCTTTCGTGATATATCATATGTATAAATCTTAGTTTTTATACTAAAATAATATATTCTTTTAAAAA